GACCAAAGCATCTCGATGCCCATCCCAGATCCCATGTCTCCCTTCAAAAAGCAGTCTCTCTGAGCTCGCAGTTTGGCTGAGGAAACTGTGTTTTCGCTTTCCAGTCCCTGATTCCAGTCCCTGATTCTCATCCACTTTTTACACAAACACCCTCCCATCTTAGAGAATAAAGACACAGCACAGAAGCATCATTAAGAGCTGTTGTCCTCAGCCAGCAGCTCCTTTGCCTGGCAGCTCCCCTTGCCCAGGAAGCACCGGGGCTCTGAGCCTGCAGGGAGGTGCCTGCAAGACACAAAAGCTGCCTCCAAACTGCAGCACCATGCTTCTGTGCAGTCACAGCAATCCTACGTGAGCTACGGCTGTACAGCTCAGCCCAGCGCATTTGCTCTCCGTGCCTCCTATCTTTGGCATTTAAGATGTTCAGTAATTTTTCAGAGGACAAACAAACAAAACCCTTGCGGTTCGCCTTTAAATAGTCGGCAAGACCCACGGCTAGTTGATATTCACCAGCAAGAGATGTCTGCTACCTCAGAACAATTAGTCTAAAATATTTATCAGAAATAAGTGTTGGGGTTTTTTGTCCAAGTTTTTGAAGTTATGAGGCCTCAGATGGGATTAATGGAAATTTTAATTAAGATATGGAAATAAGCTGCTTTCTCCCTGTCTCTCTGAGACTGCAGGGAGTTAACATTATCCTCAACAGCATGTCTCAACCTGCTGGGGGAACCATTTGCGAGATGACTTTGTGTTTAAGTTCACCTTAGACAGGATGTTTAGCTGGGAATTTGTCGTGAGCCCCAAGTCCATGTCTGCAAATATTATAGCTGTTCTGCCCCCGAGTATCGCGACCGGTCCCCCTGCTCTCCCGCACCACAGGGGCAGTCAGAAGCACCAACCCCTTTCCTCCCCGAAGGAGGGAAAGGGGATTTAAATGCTTTCATGTGTTTTCTGACACGCATCCTGGCCATCTAGCTGATTAGCTCGGCTCCATTCATAAGGAGCAGATAAACAGAAAGAAGAATTGAAGGGGCAGCAGCCAAGGAGAGGAGCCCAGCGACTGCCACGGGGCTGCGGGCAGCCAGGCTGTCGGGAAGAGCATCCCTGGAGGAGCAGAGCCTCTGCCTTGGCTCTTCTCCAGGCTCATGCTGGTTCAGGAAGGACCCTGACAAGGCTGCTGCTAAAATAGAAGCGAAGCACTGATGATTTTAGTTCTGATCAGCGGCGCAGAGCTCCCCTGATTTCATTCAGCAATCATGGTGCAAATGCCCGACGCCAGCACAGTGAGCTCCCCCCTCCTGAAATACTGCTGTTCCTCTTGGGAAAACATTTATTTTATGAATGTTCGCTCTCTGTACACCGCGGCATTGCTAATGGGGTAAAGAGAGCTTTTTTTTCTGAAGGTAAAGGATTTTAATTCAAGCCTTGGAGAAACTTTGGCCTCTAGTGTTTGAAGATGTCATTGGAAATCAGGGACCCAAGTATGCAGAAGAGCTGGATTTTTGCACAGAAGCAGAAACTATGACTTAGATGGAGAGGGTGTCTCAAAATATTGAGGAAAGGTACCGACAGGAACTGTCTGGAAGCTTTCCTGCTTTCTCTTCCTTCTCTCTCCCTTTTAGTCTATATAGATAAATCTCATTTTTTCCCAGTCTAAAGATGAGGGAAAATGAGGCACATAGGCACCTATATTTTCCAAGAGAGAACTATATTTTTGGATGCTTGACTTCAGAAAATGATGGCCTGGCTTCCAGATGCATTAAACATCTGTATTGCTAGTTGAGCTCAACAGAGAAGAAGTTTTAAGAGAAGGGCATTTTAATCCTGTTTCCAAAGGTAGTGAAAAGTATCTGATAAACATATTCCAAATTATTCATACTATTTCGCACCCAGTGGGATCACACTTCAACTCCTACTGAAACAAAGAAAGTTATTTATGGGAAATGTCTCATTCCCAAACCTGTTAAGCCAATGGAATCACTTCTGAATGCACTGGAACTTATTTCACGTGAGGATCACAAAATAACTGATGAGTATTAATTAATCAGGCACCGAGACCTAAACGTGAGCCATCTAGGCATTTCTATACCCAACAAACCTTACTGACAAGGGGGGACTAAAAGGCACGAAATGACTTGTCCGGGGTCACAGAGAAGTCCATAGGAATGCTAAAATTGAAATTCAGGAGTTCTTTTTCTCTTTGTTCAAACCCAGAGTCTGTCCTCTAGCACTGGGGACAAAGGAAAAAAGGAAAAAAGTAAAAGGAATAGATGTATTAAGGATGCCCAGATGTTCTTGACACGGAGGGCATAGGTCAAATCTGAGATCCTATTTCAAAATCTAGAGAAAATTACCTTTCCAATGACATGTGGCGTGACCTTCAACTCCTAATAGTCTAGGAGCAGTCCATTTCTGAACGTTTGGATCATGCATTTTACATTCAGGATCTCTAAATCATCTCTGATAATTTACTTACTTCTCCCCAATAATGAACACTATTTTTCTGCCGTATCTCTCTTTTCATGTGGGCTGCATCCTGCTACACACTTTTCAAAAGCACGTGAAAAAATCTCCAAGCACAAACCCGACATTTAATACAAGACTCCGGTACAGTTGCTGATTACTGCTTGCTTGTATGTTCGGTACACAACGGGCAGACAGACTGCAGAAGGCTGGAAGGCATTAAGCAGAAATGATTTTGAGGGGATCTCAACCAAATTAAACTTTTTTTTTTTTTTTTTTTTTCCCAAGTAAAGCCCAGCAGGGGATAACAAAAATTAGGGTTGGATTTACTAAAAATGAAGTGCTCCGGTGATTAAAAAATGGTTGGCTGAAAAATCCCAAACTGCATTTGATTGTGAAACAGCACCAAGCCAAGGCAGTGTAGCTTTAATAAATCGTGTTTCCAATTACAAATATTTCATAGTATCTCCATTTGTACAATAAGGATAGAGCTCTTCAATGACAATTTATTAGTGCATGTGCACAGATATAGTGTATTTTAATCTTCTTCTTTCTTTTTTTCTTTTCTTTGCCAATTGGTTCTTCCAAATAGGAAAAAAAAAAAATTATAATCGTTATCTAAGCTCTTGACTTCCCTTGACTTAATTGCAATCTAAGCCCACTTCTAATCTGTACAGATCATGGTTGCACAATTTGGAATTTAATTTGAACCCCCGGTGAATACATGCGCAGAGGCTGGAGGATTTATGTGTGCACATGTATGTGTGTTCAGTGTTTTGAACATACCTTTTTTTCCCCCCCAACATACCTTT